GCGGCTGCTGGCGAACGCCCGCGAGCGCACCCGCGTCCACACCATCAGCGCCGCCTTCGAGGCGCTCCGCAAGCAGGTAAGCGCCGCGCGCGTTCCGACGACCCGGGCCCCGCGCGTGGGCTGGGCGGGAGGGGCGCGGCCGCGGGAGCCGCCGGCCGGGACGCTGGTGTGCCGGGTCCCCCGCGGCGCCGGACCCGCGCCTTCCCGCGGAGGCGCGCCAGCCCGCCGGGCGCACGCCGCCGTTCCCTGCGCCTCTTCGGCGCACCGCGAGACGTCGGCAGGCAGTCCCGGCGCTGCCCCGCGGGGACGGCCGGCGCGGCTCCTTGCAGGGCCCCGAGCGGGAGGGCTGCGGGCAGTGCCCTCCTCTCTCGCGCCCCGGACCTGCCCCGCCGGGACCCCCAGCCGGGTGGGGGCGCCCCGGCTGCCGCCGAGACCGCGCCCGCTTCCCCGACTCAGTTGAAAGGGGCAGCCGGAGCCGCAGCGGCCGCCCGAGAAGTCGCGCCGCCCCTCCGTGGGCACGAAGTTCCCCGGGGGTGCTGCGCGCAGGATTTTGCTCGCGATTCCTAATCCGATGATCCGGTTACCGGGAAAGGGCCGCGGAGGGGCTGAAGGAACGCCGCTTCTCTGGGAGGACCCAGAAACAATGGCTGGAATGTGGCTAAGTGCTTGACGCCCGGGATTTCGGGCGACCGCTGAGCGCCTGTCCGCACCGCCACCCCGAACCGCGGCCGCGCTCGAAAGCGCGCGCCCGTCCCCGCCGAGCGCGGATCCCCATCTTCCTGTTAATCAAACACGCTTTCCGGGCAGTTGCTTGGCTCCCTTCGCACATTTTTCCCGGTGTGTGTGTGTGTGTGTGTGTGTGTGTGAGAGAGAGAGAGAGAGAGAGAGAGAGAGAGAGAGAGAGAGAGAGAGAGGGGGGGGGAGGGAGGGAGGGAGGGAGGGAGGGAGAGGAAAGTTCGGAATCCCAACTTACTTGTTTAAAAACTCCCACCCTCACCCCGTGGGCACAGGGATGATGGGCTGTTGAATACCAGACAAGGACCGGTTGTGTGCAAAGGCAAGTTGGCAGACAGAGCGGTGAAGGCGGCACATTTGGGTAACGCTGTTTCTGCCTCGGGTGAAATACAGCTATTTAAGGTGGCAAAACATTTTTTCCTTTTCTTCCCCTCTCGGCCAAACTGCAAGATGCAGGGGATTCGGGGATTCGGCTGTCTGGCCTTCCTGTGAGAGCTGGCTATTCAAATAATGTAAGCTTCTCGCAGGGCAAAGGCTTCTGTCCCAGAAACGCTTCCTCAAAGTACAGCCCTCTGAAGGTTAAAGGCCTCCCTTCCTAGTGGCTTTGCTTGGAATCCTCAACAAAGAAGTTTTACGCCCCATTTTAAAATCTCATCATACGAACCACCGAGAGCAACAAGGATGGTGGGCACTAGAGACGGGGCCTTCCCAGTGTTGGCCCCGATCCTGTGGAATTCCTTGCGGAGAACTATATGCCGGGATCGACCTGCTGCTGCACTTAAGAGGGTTCTTGCAACCCAGCTGTTTCCCTGGACTTTTAACCGAACGTTGTGATGCCGCTGATTGCTGGTGTTTTACTTGGCATTCTTTAAGTTAGTTTTAGCTTCACGTTTTTATATTTAAGGTGAGCCTGTTAATATGTGGTTCATGTTTTGTGCTCTTTGGGGATACGATTCCTGCTGTTGTGCTTGCAAAGGGAGGGGGCTTCCGCAGAGCCCTCTTCCAGCAAGCCGCGCGCTGTGCTCAGCACCTAAGCTGGTTAGAAGAAGTGATGGAACTCAGGCGCAACTCTGTGGTGAGCGCATCCCACTAAGCCTCTGGCGAGCACCAGGCCCGTGAGCAGAGAAGCGTGTCCGGTCGAGACGGCACCTTTGCAGTCATGCTCCGGCAGCCTGTCCCATCCCAGTACCCTCTGCATTGGTGGCTGGGGTGGCTGGGGCTGCGCTCCAGGATACGGGGCCGCCAGGGTGGGAAGGCTGTGGCATGGCATGTCTTGTCTTTACGGAGAGAGCCCTGGCTGTGGTGCAGCGTAGGAATTAACGCAGTGCTCCTTGTGCGCGCAGTTCGTTCCGGGGCCTCCGTAGGAGGAGGTGGCAGGAAAGGGCCTCGTGGCCCAGCGCTGGGGAAGCTCCTGGACGGGAAGGCTCAGCAAGCCCTGCTGGGGCCCCCGTGGAAGGAGGCAGGCGCGAATCGCAGCCGGTGTTGGCTCCGGTTGCACCATGGAGTGCAGATGCCGCTCTTGCAAAATGGACTGTGCTGAGCGAGGGGGCGCCCTGGCGGGATGGGCGTAGGAGGCCTTCCCAGCTGCCAGGCTCTTGCCAGGTGGAACCTGGTCGCAGAACCACGCTCTGAAAGGTCCCCCCATTTCCTGTGAGCCTCAAAACAGAGCAACGAGCTGGGGTCTCACTTCCTCCTCTCCCCCTCTCTCCCTCAAGAGCAGTTCCCTTTCTTTAAACCAGAGTGTCTTTGCAACTGTGTCTTCAGTTAGTTCTAAGGATGTAAGAGAAGCCCCGCTGGATCGGTCCAAAGGTGCAAGCCAGCCGCCCACAGCCTCCGTCCAGCCAGCTGGGTGCAAGTCCTCCTCCTGCCCAGGCCCTCGGCACCTGGCGAACGCAGGCGGCCCACCTCGGTGCAGGGGCAGCCCATGGCCAGCAAGGCTAGTCGCTCCCGATGGCCTCCTTCCTCATGAATCTGCCCAACCCTCTTTTAAAGCCGTCACCACTTCCTGGGGACCCTGGCTCTGCCTAATACTTTAGCAGATCTGTCCTGAGCCTCTTCCCAACTCTGCCTCGCCCTGTTGTAAGCCAGGAAGATGAAGGAGCTCAGCTAAGGAAATGTTCAGGTGGGGGAGGGGGAGCAAAGAGTGCTTCCAGCCTCCCCCCACCCTGCACGGGAGGATCAGCCCTCCATCCAAGCTCAGGGGTTCCAGTCATCAGGCATGCAGGCAACAGGATCATGCCCTTAAGAGTTTAAGCATGTTCCAGTCCTGCTCCAGGTTCTGCTCCTATTGTGGGGCCGGTCCCTCGGTGCCAGCTAGGATGCCTTGCTTAAAAGCAGCGGAACTTTTTTCCAGAGTTCACTCCAGGAGAGAGAAGGATACATTTGGACGAGGGCTCTCACTCTACACATCCTTCTGTTATCCTCCCCAGTGCAGTCTAAGCATAACATTTTTCTTACAGACAATTGCTTTTTCCAGCAGAAAAATGCTACACTGTGAATATCCCATCCATCTTTTAACCGTTCACTTCCCTAGAAATGCGTGCAGGCTTTTTGCCTGGGCAGAAACCTCCACCTGAGCTGTTACTTCAGGCCAACTTCAGCAGGAGACCTTTATTTGCTGAGCTTTTGATACGCCCCAAGTGGCTGGTTACCTGGCAGCCAGAAGACTCTCTCCCACCTTCTTATAGCACATACCTTCCCGGCTTTTAAAACACACTAAGATTCATTAAACATGGCTGGAGAAATTATGGGAGCCTTTATAAATCCACAAAGGGGCTCCTGAGGAGGTCTGGACCATATTTGTTTCTTTGAAGCCATGCATATCAACAACCGCAGATATGCAGATGATACCACTGTAATGGCAGAAAGTGAAGAGGAACTAAAGGGCCTCTTGATGCGGGTGAAGGAGGAGAGCACAAAAGTTGGCTTGAAACTCAACATTAAGAAAACTAAGATCATGGCATCCAGTCCTCTCACTTCCTGGCAAATAGATGGGGAAGAAATGGAGGTAGTGACAGATTCTATTTTCCTGGGCTCCAAGATCACCACAGACGGGGACTGCCACCAAGAAATTAAAAGACGCTTGCTCCTGGGGAGGAAAGCTATGGCAAATCTAGACAGCATACTAAAAAGCAGAGACATCACCCTGCCAACAAAAGTGCATATAGTCAAGGCTATGGTTTTCCCAGTTGCAATGCATGACTGTGAAAGCTGGATCATAAGGAAGGCTGAGCACCAAAGGACTGAGGCCTTTGAATTGTGGTGCTGGAGGAGACGCCTGCAAGTCCCTTGGACCGCAAGGCGATCAAACTGGTCAGTCCTAGAGGAGATCAACCCTGACTGCTCTTTAGAAGGCCAGATGCTGAAGATGAAACTCAAATACTTTGGCCACCTAATGAGAAGGAAGGACTCCCTGGAGAAGAGCCTGATGCTGGGAACAATATATGGCAAAAGAAGAAGGGGATGGCAGAGGATGAGGTGGCTGGATGGAGTCACTGGGGCAGAGGGTGTGGGCTTGGGTGGACTCCGGGGAGGGTGGAGGACAGGAGGGCCTGGAGGAACGTTGTCCACGGGGTCGCGATGGGTCGGACGCGACTTCGCGAATAGCAACAGCAACAGGGGTCTCTTGGCCCGCTCATGGAATGGGATGAACCGTTGCATCTCCGAGGGATCTTGCTTCAGCCCTAGCCGTGGCCACATCGGCCCATTCAGACGTGCCCAGGTGTTCTGCCCAGTGTGTTTCCAGATGAGGCTTTTGCTGCGCAACAAGCCGGCTGCAAGCACCAATCTAACGCGGGGTCTGGACAGCATCTTCCACTTGCCTTCCTCCAGTGATTCCCTTCCGTGTCTTAATAGTAGGACAGCCATATTAACGTTTGCGTGGCCCAGCACGCTGCCGTGCAGACAGGGCAAGGCCAGGGCATTCCCTTGGTTTTTGTTTTCTGTACATAATTGGAATAATCCAGGAAATTACTAATATTCAGTTAGAGTTACAAGTAATGTGGAAAAGGCTTAAATAAGGGTAAATTCAGTCCTGTTGTTTTAAGTGAGCCACAAAGCATCCAGTTTGTCTCAATTTAGTCAGAGTCGCTTAAGGTCTCGAGCGAGGTCAAAAGGAGCAGCTGCATCTCGCAGCACTTAATCCTCGCTACCAACTCGGAGGAGTTGCATGCACCCTCCAGCTTCCTCCCTGGCTTCAAGGCTTCGCCCTTCCCTTCTTTGTCATCATATAACACGTCTCCGAAGCAGCAGGCAGCCTTGCCCCAAAGCGCCAGAGCCAGGACACTGGTCTGCAGGCACTTGGGCCCTCCTGCTCCTGCTCCTGCTCCTCCTCGTCCAGTG